TAGATATGCTACAGTGAAGTGATTATATATATATGCCTATGTACATTGCATTTTTTTGGGTTATTAAATTGCAGGTGAGGGCGGGTGGGGCCGGGGGGAGGGGGGGGCCCGAAGGCGATTGCTGCCCCTGGGCCCGACCTGGCTCTCGACGGCCCTGTCTTCTGCAAAAGAGCAAATTAAATGATTGTATTGCAACAAAGATTGAGGGCAGAACGATCAAAATCATGGCGTCTTGAAAAAGGTCGCAAGTGGAGAAATTCTGACAAAAGTTTGGCGCTGGCGCTCTATCACGCTTCACGCAAAGTATAATTTTTCCCTCCTGCAGAAGCTCTTCACAAGCATTCCAGTTCATACATGCCAAAGACTACCAGGGATGCAACCACAGTGGACCCCAAGTCATCTACTTCTGTCTGTCTGCCATGCAAGCAATAGAGGCAGCATTTCGTTACTGATGGTATGCTCCACGTCAGGGAGTTGAAAATGACCATCATTACCCCTGTCCGTACATCGTGTCTTACTATCGTATCCATACGACGTGGGGAACTCTGTGCCACCACTTTCCAAAGAGGAGATTTACTCGTTAATCCGATCCGTACGTTTTGCATAGCAATTAGCAGTCTGTCAAAATGATTTTTTGAGAAATACTGAAAGTCTCAAAGAGATCTCCGTACTAGAAGTATTCTAAAATGTGAGGAATACAACCCCGGGTTACAAAATGACCCTAGGGCGTACTTACTTACTCATCAGGCGCGGTTCGTCCATTGAGCACGGTCGTGCAGTGCCGCCCAAAATGTTTTAATGTTCTATTACGTAAAGTACCTACAACAATAAAATAAAAGACACCAGAAACAAACACTAGCCAAATATTATATCAGAACAAAGTCCTCGGTGGCGCCGTAACTGTCATATTTATGTCTATAGCGCCGTAAAACATCTACTATGCCATGCCTAAGTTCATGCGCTGTATCTAAACTTAACAGGATATTCAACAGTGGAAACCTGACCTATAAATCGCTCTTTGGGATAATCCAAGAGATGACGACACTCGTAGAGAGTTTGGTTGTACATTAATATTAATAAGACGGCACATCTCAATAAATGTGCTCCTGCCGAATAGTGCCGAAACATAGCCCACAGTAGGCAGTCTAAAAATAAACACGATAGATTGTGCACTATTCTATGCCAAAAATATGTGAGCCCCGGAGCAATCCAGCGCAGTGCTCAAGTGAATTGTGATTGGTTCATTGTCTTGCCGCTATTTTAAGTGACTCTGTGACCGTGAACCAGAGGGAGGCGAACGTGACATACTTAAGTCGTCGTCCTATGAGTTGTGCTTTTGAACGGTTTTGTAGTGGAGTGGTGAAAGGTATTACTTGAGTGTTCAGTTCTAATGCAGGATGAATGAAATTGACGTTTAACTGACAAACAGATTTAGTTCTAGAAGTCAAAGCCACAAGTAAACAGGATGAAAATAGAATCACAAGGTTCTCCCTCACCAGCCCAAAAATCCTAGAATTATACACCGTCTCATTCACTATGCGCTTGACTGTCTTCAACCAAAGATATCTTAATTGTGCACGCCCACATTTTAGACCCCCGAGCCGCCCCTGTTACTTACTTACTACCCATTACGCCATCTGGCGTTTAGGGCAGCAACAAAGGATCTCCAGCTCTGTCTGTTTTGGGCCATCTTGGCCAGCGTTCCCCACGAATGATTCCAGGACTTCATTTCAGACTCTACTGTGCGTCTCCAGGTCACTTTGAGTCTGCCCCTTTTGCGACGTCTTTGGGTGTCCAGTGGAGGGCAGTCTTCACAATAGACCCAGGGCGTACGGATAGGGTTAACTGCCTGATGAAGGAAGAAGCCGTCAACAAGCTCGTGTGCCACAGTGACAGCAACTACAACCTCCAGTTTTGTGTAGCAAGTCTCTTTTGTGAACACCAGGTTCCATCACCACATCAGATTGGGGAATAGGTTGGTAGCGGCAGAAAAGAGAGGTCAGAAGAGACCCAGAAAATCTGCTACCTTCTGTCACCAGTAGCATCCTTCTGAGAACTCCCCAATCAATGACCAAGTCCACGGGTTCCTCTTAAAGTAAGAAGTCACCTCAGCATGAATGAATTTTTGTGATAATTTTTAAACAATTTGTCTGTCTTGGTGTTACAAGTAGATCTAGATCAATTGCCATCATCAAATTTTCGCGGGTGCTTGATTGGAGCCCTTCTTCTTCACACTCTATCATACAGTTACAAGTTACTTTTGCCCTATAGATATGTATTTCCTGGCACTCATGTCAACTAAACTAAACAATCGAACTTTCTTATTCTCATTCACATGTGTGTGTGTGTGTGTGTGTGTGTGTGTGTGTGTGTGTGTGTGTGTGTGAGAGAGAGAGA